ATCATATAGAAATACATTAGGGCAACACATAAAAACTTATTTGTACTCTAAATAAATTTTCAAATTTTACCTGCCAAATGATAGTGCCGCGTGATTAAATAAATAAAAAAAAATGATGCTTGATTTTGTAAAAGGTTCATTTTTAGAGAAGTGGATTTTGTAAACCTTCTTCAATGGTCAATAATAGTGTGTGGAATGATATATTTGATTATCTCCTCGCAAATATGACAACAAATCATGCGTTTTCTTGGCTCGGGTCTTGTATTCAATGATCATACGTCACAGACTTTAGGATATCGATATAATGAGGCATTTAGAGTAAAATACTTGAAGTTCTTAATCAAATGAAACCTACTACATTTACAAAAGGTGTGGTCATCATTAGAGTTGTGTACGCTTCGACTTATTAATTATTTCGTTGCGTTATCGAGACATTGATCTAATGAATACTTTCCTAATCTTTGTTTTTTTACAGTGTTTAATTTGCCGTTGGAGCGATAGAGTCTTTAACGATGTACATGTACTGTACAAGAAATGCACATCGCTAGATTGTTTTCCCTGTGACGTTGGAAATTCGGCAAGAGTTTTCAAATTACATGTCTGGTCTTTCGAATTCTGCGAAATACTTAAAGTTTACAAAATATAGAAAAAAGCGAAAGACGGGATGAGAATATAATTAAGGAAAACGCAACCCGAAGCTAAATATAATTTTGCTTGCAGCATTGTCACTGTTTTACGATTTCGATCATATGATAGCAACATATCTAGCGCGTGCTTTCAACATCTTGCGTCACAAAAAATGACGTCATAATAGCATATCTTATACTGTACACGAGAACACACCAATCAATCGGAAATCACGTGGGCGAATGTAACATGAGAATATTACAATTGATCTCTTATCTCCTCGCATAAAATAACATTTAGTAGTGATCCTATGTTTTCATGGCATACAGCACATGGCAAAGCCTGTTGATACAAGAGTCCTGTACTGCTTTTTATGTTTTAATATCTTAGCGAATAAAATTAAACAAAATTGGACTGAATTAGAAGTGTTCAATTTTATTTTTTTTTTCATCCATAAGTTATTACATTATGCGAATAAAAAGTATTATGGTTTAAGTGGCTCTAATGGTATTGAATGAAAATGTCCGAATCCTTGTGTCAAAAATTTCGTCACCAATTTCAATATTGATGATAAGAATTACTAGCTATACATACAGTATTTGTTCAAATCTATCCAAGCAATATTAGAATAAAAGTTATTGAAAAAGAGATGAAATACGTCAAAGATTTTTACTTATTAGATTAAGTATGCGATGATATTACCTAGACTATCATGTAAATTCAAACGAGGTACTCCACCAAGATTTTAGAATCTCTCAACAAACATGGTTTATATTGTGACGTCGAATAATGTTTTATGACGTCATCCTCCATTGTCAAGATTCTGTAGGACTTGCGGCAAAACAGATTTTTTTTTTCAACGAACATACCGTTTCCTCATTTAAGATAATAGCTAGATAACAATTATAATTATACAATCTTCACTTAGATCTTTTAAAATTGAAAAATAGCAAAAGAGTGAAGTTAGGTATATAAAATTATCAACCAACATCCACTGGAAATGGGGCAACGACTTAATTACTTTTACTGCATATGTATAACTACACAAATCGCAATTGTTGACTGACGAAAAACAAATAGGTGAGTAAATGTATCTGGAGGTATATATTGTAACTCAGCTAATGAGTGATTTATGCCGTGGTTAGTATAGTATTCAGGAGCACTGTTTCATCAGCTCTTAACAAAACAGGAATATCGATGCCTCAGAGGTAACTGGGCAGCCGAATGACCGCTCGTACACTGACCCGAGTCATCCGACTACACACAATTCCCTGGGGTACTGTACATGCTAATTGACAACAATCTAGATATATTAATAAATATCATTGGAAGTTGAATGCACTACTAAATAGTCTGGACTTGGTTGATCGGAGAATATCGTTTGGCCCTTACTGACAAAGACTGTACTTTTAATAATGAATTAAAACGTTGCGTGCAAACTACACTTGTTGGTTACAAGTCGTTAAAATACAATAAAAGAAATATATAAGTGACAACTTTGTGTGATAAAATATTCGACCTACGAGTTTTTTTTCCCGGAAATCACCATAGTTATAGCTATTGAAAATCAAATTGTGATATAAAATCTATTGGTGATATGAATAATTCTATTAGATCTGACTTTTCGCAATACGGATCGATTAAATCCAGAACGAGGAAATTTAATTACTCTATGAATATAATGTTTTACAGAAATATGGAGCTTGTAAATCTGCAATGTCAGACTATTTCTTAATAGCACAACAATTATCATAAAAAAGAACGTTTATTTCATCTGGGCCTAGTCGAGTCTATAAACAGATTCGACAACGATGCCAAATATCCGGAATATTTATCTCAGACACAAACTGAACCAGAATTTTATTACTGCTGCCAAAAATGTTCCGAAAAGTGTTTATATACTTAGATTTCGTACCCCGCGAGAAGACGGCGAGAGTTGACCAGCGAGCGGTTCAGTCTACGAAAGTTGTTAAAGAAGATCGTCCATCATTCGCCAGCTTGTATCAGTTTCAATCAATCTAGATCCAACGAGAACCACATGTTTTCGCGCGTGTATTGCCCGCCGCTACTTGAAGAAAAAATCTTCGGCATTTATAGGCAAACAATGTCGTATAGACACATACACTTTACACTTCTTATGACGTAATTTTCGCGGGTTGTCGGTTATCGCATAATTTTTTGATAAACTTTTTCTTGCAATCCGAATAAAAAGTTACAAGCTGCAGTATAATCAATCTTAGACTTGTAACTTATACTTCACCATTACCTTGTATCGTAGAGAACTGGAATTTTGATTAAATTAAACCATACTTTTTGTGCTGTTCAAACTTCGTTCTTTTCGAAACGTGTAACCTGAATTCCGGTGATAAGTAAAAAGCCAACGGATGCCTTACTAATAATGCTAACAGTTACTAAAAAACTAATTCGTGGAGGTTATGTTTTCGACAATTAGAATTAATAACTCACGCAACGGAAATATATCCGCCACGAAAATGATTGATATAACAGTAAACGGCAAGATGATTATTAAAGCTGTCATATATGTTTTCTAACATTCATATCGTTTGACGTCGTTAACAGAAATTGTGTACATTATACAATCTAATAATAGACTATTGAAGGACAAAATTTCCAGCCATGATATGATTAACTGTATACATTCAAAAATTGTGCTTCTTTTATTGATAACATATATTTTATATATGTTGATGAAATCATTATCCGTTAAGATAGAGGCTTACCCTTTGAAAGTAAATGGAATTTGTGAGCAGGTCCATCTTTACAAAATAGCTTTTATTTTTTGTGATTAAGAATAAGTTCTTTGAAGCAACCTTCGTTTATACTCTTTAAAACTAAGTGCACACAGATAAAAATGAATATTTTCCGGAAAGCACTGGTCTTTATCGGCACATTGTCAGCTAACGGACATCCGGGTCCTGTACAAAGATATATACGTATTGTCCTGGTCACACATGTCAACAACACCCACATGTATTCATATGACCGAGATATACCGGCCTTGTTTGCACCAGTAAACATCCACATGTTGCATCCTGTTGAACGCTATCGATATCCAGAGTAGGTTTCAAGGTCATATTTCATTTTTACGCAAGAGGACTTCAATTACAAGTATATGTAATAAAATGGCACCACTCCTGTATGTTAATTTGTAAAGTTTAATAATATATCATCTTTATCTTTTTATTCAAGTTTTACTTCGAAGGTTAAATCAGGAAAGAGCAAGAATTAAATTGGTATTCGATATATATCTATTATCCGAAAGTTGCAAATTGTAAAAAAAAAAAAAAAAAAAACCAGAATGACGCTTCTCTAGGTGTTCTCTTGCCTTCAATTAATATCACATTTGACCTTCATACAGCGCTGTGTCATCATTAAGAAACATTTCTATCTTCTTGCACTGAGGATATAAAAGCGGAATAAGTGTCTCAAAATTAATTACATCTCTGACAATATAATACAATACAGCAATCTAGACTAAAGAAAGCTTTATTACACCCACGCTAATCAATACCTTGTAATTATCCGTAACGAATACTAACCGAAAACTATTCAATAATGAATATTAAGATTTGGAACTTTGACGATGATAAAGATAGTTACAATAGATCGATTTCAATTGGCGAAATCAGATTAGACTTTTCAAAAACGATGCACGTTAGTCCGAATCAGTATGAGAAACATGTATTAATTTATGTATTTTAATTTTAAGAGATAATTTTTAAGTTTATCAATTCAATTATACGATTTTTCTGTCGACACTCTCGTTCGTTTACTGACATTTTTTTTATTTTGATTGTATGTGAAATCATGTCGACGCGAAAAGAAACACTCCTCACATTGGCACCGAATTATCCAAAACCCGAGTCAGCGTTATGTGAATAAAGAATTAAAGTCAAACAGATATGTCAACCGTTACATACATATATGTATGTAAGTAAGACACTTACCTTAACACCGCGCTGCTGACAGATACGTATATCTACCAAATTTCTGTTTTGTATTTGTCTAATTCATCGCCAAACCTATTGAAGAGGATTACTATAAACAGATCTTGATTCAATCAATTATCGGGGTTAAAAATGATTTTCTAAATGAGTACATATTGGAAAAATGTGTAAGAAATAAAGTATTTCTTCTGGCATGCACAGTTGATAAAAAATGCCAACTGGCGGACATGAAATACGTTGTTTCCAATTGGCATTCATAAGTATTCTGAATGCCAGGTGTAACATTTCATTTGGTCTTTTGTCATAGTAGGACATTCATATAGTCTGTTTACGCAGGATAACGCCCAAATGTATGAATAGATTGTCATTATCGTTAATGTACTGACGTCACAATGATTGTTGCAGAGGCGGATAGCGACTCAAGGATGCACGATATGCAAGGCGGTGTGAATTGACCAGTGTCCATCACAAGATTTGGTCAAGAAGAAAATACTATAAAGAGGTAAGATTTGTTAATTTGTTTCAGTGTTTTTGAGATAAACCCTATATATAAGTATTTTAATTTCACACATATAAAACCATCACTTGCCGCACGCCATGTGGACCCGGCCGCTCGATAGGAAAATGATATTGCATTTTTTACCACACAACATATATCCGGGAACAGTTTAAACAATGAATCAAAATAGAATACAATGCAGCTTAGTCAACTTTAAAAAAATGAGCAGCTGACCGACCAACGCGTTCATCAGTCCTCCGTAATCTGGAGACTGTCACGGCCTCGCCAGGTTCGACTCGTTCTCTCGGACTTTGGTAAGTTTTCCCATCTGTGATTTATACGTATGAACCCGTAGGCGGTTAAATGTAAGTATTTTCCATATACATCAAATCACATATGTGTATTACATGGTGTAACTAAATGGGTCTTTGTTATATATGATATATATATACATGGGGGAAATTTATACTGAACAGTCTTTCTGATAAAATCATTCTAATTTATCAAGCTTTTCATGTCCTGTATGTGTAAGTGGTATTGTAACATCAAGTGTATTGATCACTTTGTTTAACGCTGAAGGTCGTGATGCTTCCATACAGCATCCGTTTGACAGACCATATCTAAAGCCCCGCGATAGAATTGGGAAGAGCACCTTTATGTGTTCTCAGTAAATCTCTCTCAATCTATGCTCAGTGGCATGAATTGGAAGATACAGGGAGTGATTGCTTGTCCTTTGTTACCACCATTCTCACACCGATTAGATTACAGTTGTATGTGTTGATACACATGATAAAACACTTTACTATAATTAATTTTCAAGGGATCTTCTTTTTTCCTTAAGTTTGCGGGCAGTGTAAATCTACTCGAAGAAGTTGATTAATAATACAATTAAACCTTAGTTTGATAATTTAGTAAAATAACAAAATTGATGTCGTTTTGATTATTAATCGTAAAGAAGGAAATGAAAGCCTCGCGAAAATTTACGATTTTACAGTATTCCAGTGATTGTACAAAAGACGCATTCCTGAATAACACATTTAATGCAAGTTGATAATTAGAAACAACGAAACAAATTAAAGAATTAAACTTGTTCCGCCTTGTAGAACTCTTGATATGCTGCGAGCCTAAATTTTGAAATCTAGGGGCGACTGAGGAAAATTCAAAGTGATCTGAAGACTTTTTTAAAGTCTCAGCAGCAGATGGGTTGTTTTCAGTTGCAGATACTCGTGCGTTTTCGACTATAGCGTGCGTGTTTGCGATACCGTGGAAGCCAAAAGATCGTATAATATAATGCATGCGATAGTGCACATGAACCCACACGCTCACATACCTACAGACAGATCATTTCGAAGAAAATAATTGACTAATCAATAAGAACACATGTCCTGATTAAGTCTTTGAAAATAAATTATGTGCAGCAGTGCTCATTAATAGACACGAGCACTGTTCTGCACAGCCACCTACCGTGTTACACGTAAAATGCATGCAATCTAATGATATATAATGCACGTGTATTGAATGGCCATTGAAGATACCTAGCAGGTCTCTTTGACTGTATTCATCGCACAGTTCTTCAATGTTATAAGGAATGCAAATAATGTGCAGTAAACGAATGAATAACGACCTATCATTATCGTTTGATATCGACCGACTGTTTTGTAAACACTCCAGTTGTATTCTTTCGTATTATATGCCGATATCATTATTCGCTTTTTTGTCGCAAGAAGTATGCTCCATAAATATAATGCCAACTTAATTTGATCCTGTAAAACCTAATTAAATAAATAGGCGGTATTTATTAGAAATATGCGAATAATATGAATGTGTCATTCTATACAATGACTGAGTGAACCTTAGCCTTAATACCACTTAGACGTTTAAGACGATCACTTACGAAAAAAGATAAAATACGCTTTGATTAATTGTTCTCGACATAATTCCTTTAGTTGGCTTATAAAACAATAACATTAATAATTTGATATTCGTGTTGTTACCGCACGACGCATTGAAAAAGGATAATGTTGACGTGTAGTCACGAAAACTAACAGCGATTACAATTTGAAAAATAGACATTGATGTGAAAAATTTGACTCTAGACTATTTTAAAAAGCATGAATGTTCCGTGAAAACCTATGGTCTTGAGAGTATTGTCTGTAATAAACCGTTGATGGATATAGTATGAAATTTATGATAATCAACCTCATAATTTTGTCATTTTGGGTCACTTAATGCTCGGTGTAATGACAATATTTAGACTTAACTGTGGAACAGAAACTCATTTGGAACAAGTATACGGATGTGTAACACAATAGCAACATAAGACATTCATATATGCATCACATCTAGCAGACCGTTAATTTCATTGACCCAAATGTCAATTTTGCTGACTCAATGAAACAAAAATGACGACGAAAGGAAATCGCCAAAATACATTGAAATGTTTTACTTCATGAAAGAACATCAGATTTCCCCCCCTCAAAATTGCGATAATTTGGGCTATTAACATAATAAGCTTTAGAGTATGCATAATTCAGTATGACTTCAAAAGTGTCGCAAGACATCAATATAATACAGTACACGTCACGCATAGAGAAATAACAATGAACATTGAGAACAATGGTATTCAGACTAATCCTGTACCAAGAAACTTCGAGTTTTTTCGTTTTTTTTTTTTTTTTCTAAAGTGACAATATTCCGACTCATTCCTTCCATTAAAATAACACAACCGAATTATTTTGTTAAGAGAATATAATAATAACAACTCCAGTCCTTTAATTACACGGAAAGACTATCTTGCAGTGATATAGAGGTGCATAGGTGAATCGAACGATAACATTTTCTCTGTTTACTTATTAATTGTTGCACATTACCCTGATCATTGAAGCAAAAAGGACTGATCTTATTTTCAGGCTGATGTTAAATAAATGATAATCTCTCAATGAAAAAAATATACATAATTGCCTTCATTTAAACATAGTAAAACTATTGAATCATATATTTTTTTTTAAATATTGCTTGTATACCCAGGACAATTTGCTGCCTGAGAAAAGTTGATAATTAGTTATTTTTCCAGTGTATGGTTTTATCAATTACCAAGAGCCGTAACTATACACCATCCGGACGCAAGGTTTCTTATCTGACACACATACTCCGATTAGCTTACAAAAAACTGATAGTCCACTTTTAAAACGGAGATACAATCGTGCGCTGATTTCTTGTATGTTGAGAAACATTCCGTCATGCTAAGTACATATCTCCCGATCAAACCAATTATCGGCTCGTATACAGTCCCAACGAACGCCGTCTAAGAGTACAAGGAGAACACAACGCGATTATTACGCGCTGTCGACTAGCTTTACATGCAACACTTCACAAACCCTATACATGAAACACCTCCGCATTTGACAAAAAATACTACCAATAGACTTAAAGTTAGAATTTTAAATATAGAGTGCGAAAACGGAATGATCTGTGCGATTTGTGTGCTCAACAAAGCTACCATTATACGGAAATGTGAGACTTTTTCCCCCTTGTTAGGTTTTATCTCTGTCTTGATCTGTTTTGACAGGAAGCAAGTAATGTTTAGTCTACCTGGGCGAGATGATTGTGTCAGTCGGTTGCCGGTAACGGCTCATCAAGGGTAAAAAACCTCACAAATACAGCGTAAGTGATACTGCGCTGCCATTAAGCGCGTCTTGTGAACCGTTGTTGAGTAATTGTCATTAGCGTGAAGCGAACAAAAACGAACATTCTATGGTCCAAGACAATTGAAAATAATACTTTTTATAGACAGGAATATAAATCAAAGTTATTTGAAAGAGTCTTCCTTAAAATACGTACGAATACAATAAATGGGTGATACGATAGACACACCATGTTGAGCCTGTCTATCTATTAGGTCATCCTTTATATATCAGCTTAATACAAAACCTTGAGGAATACGGTGTTCCGTAGCAAATTGTCTATACGTCTCAACTAAATTATGCCTTTCAAGAAAACGTTATGAAAGACACACAAACATACGGATTCCAGTTATGAAAAAGTGGTGTAAAGGAAACGTAGGATAAATTAACATTTTATCTGGCGAACAAATCTAATTTCATAGTAAGTTTGATAGAATAACAAAAATGTGATGTCCGACATGCGTGTCGTACACGTGTGCAAGTGATGCACGTTTACATTGTAATCTTTCTATGTATATCCGTAGCACGCGACGTCGGCGTCAATGCCTTTTTGTAGACGAAGGTAATATTAATCCAACTTCCTTCGTATGTTTAAGTACACACACAGGACTAAATTACCCCGACACACTACCTAAACCTCCTACTCGAGGTGAACATTTAACACGTAAAGCTATCCTCGTTTTAGCATCACTGATTCGGTTTTTATGTCTTGTATACTTCCCAAAGGAACATAAAAAATATACATACTACAAAGTCATCGAAGTTGTTGACAATGTTGTCGCCGAGTTTAGTGGTAACATCTTTCAACAGACTATTGGTATACTTATGGGAACAAACTGTGCCCCTCTCTTCGCAAATTTGTTTTTTGTAGACTGCATTTATCGAAGTTTGGTCAAATCACACTTTATAAGTACCTTGTCTTTAAATAACAAGGAAGGTATTGTCAGTATCAACTGCAGATACCAGCCAGAATTTGAAATCGAGAATACGACATACCCTTCTACATTAGCCGCTTACTCCGATGTAACCTACAGGTACAACTTACCATTAAGCAAGAACATAAACATATCAATTTCAAGATGTCCTTATTGTGAACTTTCATTATGTAGATAACAGCATCCCTACTCCCCAAATCAAAATATTCGATATTTCGCATTTTATTCGGCATTCCAGGGTTTGTTCCGAATATCACGACTTCGATGGAGAATATCGATAGTTGTTAGATAAACGCTAAATATTGAGTTTCAACATGGATTATGGGGTCTTATAAGGTCGTTATAATTATCTTGTCGTAAAATATTATATTTCCCTTTACGATTT